TGTTTGTGTTGTGAATTGTAAATAGTTGCACTAGGAAAATCCCTTATTTGCCTATTAGTTGATTGTTTAGGTACAGGAAAATCCCATATTTTCCTAAAGTAACAGGCATTCTCTAAGACTGAAAATTGCAAGCAACTGACATGCTTAAAGGTTGAGGCATAGTTTTATATAATAAAGCTATAAGAAGTTCGCACTTGTTAGATGAAGAATAGTTTTAATAGCTACTCGTTCATAAAATCAGATTACCATAATAATTGTCTATCTGGTAAGTTTTATAACCATACTAAACATAATATGCCTGTGGCGACGGTCTTCAGGCGTCGAAACGTTTATGACAAACTGTCACCCAAAGGACTGTAGCTAACAGTCAGGGTGCGGGATCATGACTTCCCGTATAGATCTATACATATTTGACATGCTCTCCCAAACGGGAGACTCTGGTTATAATAGACAGGACTTTAAGTTGTACCTTTTCGCAAAAAGGTAGCGTTGAATATGTAAATGTCACACGGGTTCTCAATTAAGTCTGTATTAAAGGGATAGTTTTGTATACAATGTTTATTCTTTCTTATAATGTTTTACTAAGCATAAATATTAAGTCCTTTGAATGCATAAAATGGTTTAACAAGGATGGCTACCCTGAATACTATGAATTTTGTATAAACCTAGTGCATGAAAGATATAACAAGAGTTTTCACATTTTCACTCGGGATTAACCGGGTGTTTACTTGCATTCTCCCCCGAAATGTATTAAAAGTATATTATAAAGTATTTGAAGGTGTATAAAGGGGGTATGAACTCACTTGATTGAAGTGGTTGCTTTGAAGTAGTCGAGAGAAGAATCAAGCAGAACTTCGACAGGAAAAGATGAAAATGCAGGAAAATCTCAGGATTTCTCGGGACTCTCGGGAGTGTAGAACTTCCTTCGGGACTTGAGTGTGAAAATCGGGGCTTCGGGATGGCTTATCGAGGTAATTATGCAGAGTAACAACACTTAGATGGAAAGAGATGAGCACCAAACCCGGCACCCTTAAGCTTCTATTTATATAGGCATATTTTGTGTGCCACATCGTGGTGAGTAATCTTATCCTCTTCCGCTAATTGGACGCCCTCAGGCACTTGCCGGGTCGCGGCCAACATGACATCCTCGGATTTCGGGCCTCGAACTTATAAAATTCGTAACTTTCGTGTACGAGCTCTGTTTTCGACGTTCTTTATATGTACACGTAGGTGAGAATATACTCTACAACTCTCGTTTAGACTTTGTCGGTTAATTTTGACTTTATTTTTAATTATTTATTTTTAACAGACCGAGACTAGAAAAGACCGTTAAAAATCCATAACTTCTTCATCTGATGTCCGTTTTTGCCATACATTTTACCGTTGTGCTACTTTGGTTGAGACCTTCGATTCTCATTTAGGTTGTTTCGGCCAAACGTCTCTCGATCTCTATTTCAAGTTTTTAGTTGTCTACTGCTATATCCAGATCTTGGAAAAATCATAACTTCCTCATACGAAGTCAGATTTGGATGTTCTTTTTACGTACGTTTACAGTTTAATGATATCCACAACTTTCATTTAGATACTTAAGGCTAAAAACTATTGTATTGAAACTTTGAGTTTTTCGTTTAATCGGTGTTGTTGGTTTTGTCGGAAATCTTAGAATGGTCATAACTTCTTCATTATAACTTGAATTTTAGTGTTCTTAGTATTTCTGTAAACCTTAACACAATATCTAGCATAGTAGGTAACCCAATAGAGACTTTTGTACATTTTATTTTCGAAGTTAATTTCATCATTTCAAAAATGGTTACAATACTTGACTTTTTAGGTCATTACATAGAGTCGAAATATCGGCTGGTCACACCTCCCTAATCTTCATCATCTACAACTCTGATTTTCCTCTCCAACCTTTAAATTTTCTCCCCTGTGATTAGCTAGCTTAACCTCTCCAACATCCGATTTCTTATTCAATCCTTGACGCCTCCATCACCTTCATTATCTTCAACTATGCCACTTCCTGCTTCATCATACTCTAAAAATCATATATCTCACAAAACTCTTCATCTAAGAACGATGATCCATATAGTAGTGACAAGATCTGGTATAACATGTGTGTCGAAATTCTTGAAAGAGATAAGAGATGATTGATGTTGTTGACGCTAGATCTGATCAATTTTTCTGTTTGTTTAGGTAAATATTCTACAGATTATACTGGAAAACTCTTGAAGATTTGAACAGTTTTAAATATTCTGGAATGGAATATATATAGGAAAACATTTACCCGAGAGAGAGAGAGAGAGAGAGAGAGAGAGAGAGAGAGAGAGAGAGATGTGGGTCCAAATTAATTAACTATTTTCTTTTTCCTTTAAATTAAAATGAAAAAAATATAAAAAGTATATCAGAAATGGCATTTTAGTCTTTTTAGTTTTTTAAGGGACCAAAATCACAAGCAAACATGGTCAAAAGGACCACGAAGCCAAAAAAAGGTGGGGTTTGGACTAAAACCCCAAAAAAATGAATATCACAGGGACCACTTTTTCAATTTTGTCTTAATTTTACATATAAAGCGAAAAAATTAACCCTTAAGTTCACTTGCAATCCATAAAGGATCTATGTTTTCTCTAATTTATACCAATAAACTTTTGAACATCAAAAACCCTAAAGGAACCCTATAATAATCAAAATATCCATAGGATTAGGGTTTACATACTATTTTATTATTACAGAAAACAACCAAACAAAGTTCCTTCTTGAAAGCCTAGGAAAGCAATCACCAAAAACTTAGTGTCACTATTGGTTTGTACCCAAACCCTTAGTAATTCGAAGACCTGAGGAGAGAGGAGATGAGGGAGAAAAATTTCAGCTCTACCTTTAGGTATGGAAAGAAAGAATATAATGAGTGTCAAGGGTCCTATTTAGAGATGGGCACAAAAACTGGATTCGGGTCTAGGATCCGATCCGATCGGGAAACCGGCTTTGGTCAAAACCGGATTTGACCGAACCGGATCGGATTAATCCGGTGACCAGATCCAAACCGAATTCTCGCTTCGGACTTCACTTCGGATTATACCCCGGATTCGGTTCAAACCGGATCCAAAACTGGATCCAAACCGGGTTTTTTTACAGTTAAAAAACAGGAATTTTTCAAAAAAAAATTATAGTCGTTGGAAGCAAAAAAAAACAGCTAGTTTGACTTTTCTTGACTTTTGGGCCCTTCTAAACACATATAAATACAAGCCATTTGCTGCATTTCCATTTTACACAAATTTCTACTACTTTATACTTCTATATTCATGATCTTCCAAAAATGAGCTCCAGAAATTCTATCGCGGGTCAAGAGTCGGATGCAACGGTGGTTAAAATCTTACCAACCACTCAGCGTAAAGATGTGTAAGAATATTATGATTTGTGTTTGTTGTCGAACGGGAAAGAAAAATCAAGGTAAAAGCAATGAGAGATGTTTTTGGGAAAAGATGGCAATAGTACCTTGAGGAGTCATACAACAAAAACGTGTCCGGTTGTAAAAGGTCAAGACGATCCAGATCAACTAAATATTACTCCAAACAGTTCGATCTTTATTTACAACAATGATGACATTTGTGAAAGCTTCTGCAAGTTCGTCATTCAAGAGGGATTGCCTTTCAATCACTTCAACTACCCATAATTAACAAGGATTTTGCGGCAACTAAGTTGCACTTCTCTTAAAGGTGATGCTTTAAAGTATTGAGATATAGTCAAAAAGATATGCAATTGAGATTTTTAAATATAAAAACCGGTGTTTTTTTTAACTTGTGATGCTTTGTCCTCCACCGGAATTTGTCCTAAAAGCTATCTTGTCGTCGTCGCAAAAAGAGTAATTGCAATGCAAGTAACAATACCGTTGTCGCAAAAGGATTAATTGCAAAATATAAACCTACTATAGATGACTCGTTTTTTCATACCAGATGTGTTTGTCACATTATTAATCTTGCGGTACGAGATGGTTTAAAAATGATAAATTCGACGATTGAAAAATTCAAAACTGTGTTAACTAGACTTTTTGGAAAATATAAAGCTACAATGGAAAAATATCGAAAGTTTGTCATTTCCATTAACGTAACTCCATATCGTCCTCATTGGGATGTTTACACTAGATCGATTTCGATGTGCATGATGTTTCAAAGTTTAACATGTCAAAGAATCAGTTTGCAATTATTTTACGACACAATTTCAAAAGGAAAAAACCCGGTTACGGATTTTGATTGGGATTTGATGGAAGAGTTTGTGGAAATGTTACAAGTTTTTAAATAATCAACCATTTTTTTATCGAGCGTATATTGTCCTACAAGTTTGTTGTTACTAAATGAATTATGGTTGATGTCCGCACAATTGGAGCGTTTTGAACAAAGAAGTGAAATATTTGTTTTGGTTACGAGACCAATTAGACAAAAACTAGTCAAATATTTCAAATAAATGCCACCACTTTTTACTTGAGCCGCGATATTAAACCCTTGTATCAATGTTACGGGTGTAGAGGCTTTGATTACAAAAATTTCTATCTTTAGATTTGCAAAAAGATGACTCAAACTACATCCGTTACCAAATACACACTTTTAATAATACTTTTACTAATTTGTTTGACATTTATGCTACAAAATATGGCAATATGTCAAACATTTTTGCAAGTGTAACCGACTCTACTAGTGGTGCATCGAGTAGTGGTGGGGGTCGAACGGATTTTCATATCGATCTCTATAACTACCTTTTGGAAAAACAAAACAAAAGAGCATGCACATTAACCCCTAGTAGCGAAATTGGAATTTATATGGGGTCAAACTTTTTAAAATTCATGAGTGCACCACAATTTAAAATTTTGGATCTTTTGACATGGTGGAGAGAAAAGAAAGCACAATTTTCTATTCTCTCCATCATGACCCATGATTTACTAACCGTCCAAGCTTCCACGGTCTTCGGAATCCACTTTTTCTTTTAGTGGTAGAGTTTTATCAAAGTTGAGGATGAATCTTACTCTGGTTGTGGTAGAGGTTTGCATTTTCTTGAAGGATTACTTGGATTCAGTGGAATGTATACAACACTTGGCATCGCTAGAAGACCCACTAGCACAAAATGTTGAACTGGAAATCATGGATGAAGAATATGCACAAGGCTTATCAACACCTCCGGAAGAGGAAGGCGATGATGATGAAGACGAAGAAGAAGATGAAGAATATGGTATTAATGAGACCCATAGTTATTTGTGTGGCAGTTGAGGAATATTTTATTGAAGGCGACACGAAGTGGAAGACCACAAAAACTATTTCTATTTGGCTAAATGTTATAACGCCACTTTATTATTATTATTATTATTACTTAACTAGTTTGAAAACTCTTTCTAGTTCAACGTTTGATGCATGTTTTAACTATTTTAATGAACCTATGTTGCATTTTGTGTTATATATGAGGTCCAAAAAATGTTTTTTCTAAAAAAAGGCTAAATTGGATTGGATCCTAACTGGATCAGATTAAACCGGTTCGGATTTGGGAGTCGAAAAACCGGTGAAATTTGGTTTGAAACCAATTCAGATTTTGGGCTAATTCGGATTCCTTGTGACGTCATGAAACCGGATCCGATCCTGTGTTTGTGCATCTCTAGTCCTATTTATATCTAATACAAGGAACCCTGGAAACCCTAATTTGAATATAATATTAATATTTCCAATTATGTAATTCTCAAACCTTTAACTGTCATATTCTGGATCCACTTTGGATCATTCCAAGACCATCCATGACCTATGGAAGGTTCTAGAATCCTTTTTGTTCAACTATTGAATAATTGTAGCTTAAGTTATTGCACTGTTAATTAATCCCAAAATTAAATCCAATTATTTTATGATTAATTCTTATTAAATAACAATTTCTAATTGATATATTAATCACATAATATATTAAAAATCATTTATTTCTATTTATTAATCATATAATAAATCAAACTCTCTCTCCAAAAGTCATTCTACTCAATTACTAGTTATGAGGGCAACCCAAAAAGGACTTTGCTTTCAATTCAGGTATATACCAATTTAGTTATGATCTAAGACACCTTAATCCAATAGTTTGGTCATCTGCCAGAGTAAGATGACAACACTTTACTGATCCAAATGAGTCTTGTGAATGACTTTGTTTATATAGATTTATAACCTATAGACGTATTGTGTAACATAACAATTTTCCATTCCCGTAGGTGTTTATATTATATCCCCTCTCATGGTTTCCTTTATTGACTTCTACTTCCAAGGAATTCTCGAAGCAGAAATGTCTACCTGTTGCTTACAGTGATCCATCATGTTAGATCTCAAGGATCAATGTTATAGGATCAATATGTGAGAATCGATGGGATGGGGTAGATTGTTTTATGGATATCTATGTTATATGATATATTGTTGAGAACAGATAGTTTTTACATTGTAAATATCTTATGTATTGATTATAACATCCTTATGATCTTAGACAACTTAATCCAACAGTCTGATCATCTGCCTGAGTAAGATGACAACACATTACTGATCCAAAAAAGTCTCATGAATTACTTTGTTTTTATGGATTTATAACCCACAGACGTATTGTGTAACATAACAATTTCCCATTCATATAGGTGTTTATATTATACGCCATCTCATGGTTTCCTTTATTGACTTCTACTGCCAAGGAATCCTCAGAGCAGAAAAGTCTACTCATTGCTTACAGTGATCCATCAGTTCAAATCTCAAGGATCAATGTTATAGGATCAGTATGTGAGAATTCATGGGATGGGGTAGATTGTTTTATGGATATCTATGCTATATGAGATATTGTAGATAGCATATGGTTTTTCAGGTTTATTAATTTTGCATTATTATCATAATAAGATTGTGGGATTGAAAACCCTATGTGTCTCACCAGGTTTTCCAAATCTGGCCCACTTAAACTATATGCATCACAAGTAGCGGCTTTAAGACTGCTTGAGCTGAATAGGATGTCGAGTGATTAAAGAGTATAGTCTGCAATAGTTTTTCGTTTGGTCTTTACATTGTAAATATCTTATGTATTGATTATAAAATCCGTATGGTTTTGCTATTTTGAAACAACATTTGCACACAAGTCATTTTAATAAAAAGAAACATTTCCCACAAAATGTTTTATTGTTCTTGGATTTTCCAAAAACAAATATTATATGATTTTGAAAGCATAAAGAAAAGTTTTTTTTTTGTTATGAAAAATAGCGGATGTAACACTTTCCCTTAGTTAAAGTTTGTGCATGTTCTTAACAAAAGAAGGGTTTGAAAACACCATATTCTAGACTAAATTGTGTGTCTACTATCATCCCCCTTCTATTATTGTCTCCTACTTTCTTTTTCAATTTCAAAAGTGCTATTATGTATGAACTGTTGGATTAGATGTCTAAGCCCATAACTATTATTGGTATGTACTTGACCCGAGAGTAGCATGGTCCATTTGGGTTGCATATCATCAGGGCAATTTGTTAGGATGGACTTTTGAGAGAAGATGTTGTATATGATTTATTAATATATTATAAGTTATAATATATTAATTTGAAATCATATGTTTTAATTAGTATTGATCAAGAATTAATTTGGAATTAATTTAGTGATCAAAAGGGACTAATTAAATCTATGGGGACTAATTATGTTAATTAGTTATATTTATATGTGTTAGGCTTATGATCCATGTTGGACCAATTTTATGTATGGATACATAAAGAGTTGGGCCACATGAACCATGGATCATTAAACCCATGGGTATGGATTTGGGTTATATCCATGAACCTAGAAATTCCACATATAAATACATATTTCATTTCTCAAAATCGAAACTAGGGGATTCTTGGAGTTCATGGTGGCTTTTGGGTACATGGAGATTCTCTCTCAAGTTCATCCTTTGTTCATGATGTGTTGTGATTCCACTTGAGGCTTCCACACTATTGGGGCTAAGATCTTAAGGCTAGATACATCAAGACTTCAAGCTCTACAATAAGGTATGCTATCCTAACTAGATTCTTGTGTTATATATGATAATTGTATGCTAGTTATAGGTAATACCTTGGAAAGTTCATATTTGCATGTGTAATAGAGAAAACATAGATCCAAGGTTTATAGGGTTGCATGTACACCATAAGAGTGCTAGAATGCTCAAAACCCAACATGAACGCCACCTCTTTTTCATAATATTGGGTCTCTTTTATGCCATCGGCTAGAATTTGTATCGCATATTGGCTCTTAATACCAACATCTTGTAATAACCATAACGAACTCATATTATCATATTACATTATATATATATATATATATATATATATATATATATATATATATATATATATATATATTACAAAAGCAGATTAGCACGTTACTCATGATAGAAAAATCAATCTCCATTGTTACATCTTTTTACATCTTCAAAATCATTCAACTCAGCTTCAGTTAAACCAATACAATTCAATATTTCCTAATAACTATTCTTTGATAGTATCATGTCCTCAATGCTTTCCTTTAAAAAAAGAACCATCTAGCCTCAAGGTTGTAAAAAACGTTCGATGTTATCTAGTCAGTGGACTAGGTTTAAGAGATTAATCGGTTAGGCGGGGATTAATCGGGGACCATAAATTGCTAATTCATTGATTTTTAAAAAAAATAAATATGACTAATATCATAAAAAAGTTCGCAAATATTACTAATATCATAACAAATACGTTAATATGACTAATACACCACTAATCATTCCTCAGATAATTTCTACAGAGATAGAACTTCTTCAAAGTTTAAAATTTTATCAATTTCTACCTCTTCATGCATTGCGTAGGCACGGATTAATCGCTAGGCACGCTTTAGTCAGTCGAGTAGCGCCTAGGAATTAATCGGGACCTAGTCGGGATTTTTACAACACTATCTAGCCCTATTACCTTACGCCATCCTCTTTTCCATCCTTTTTTTATTGAATTAAAACAAATGTAGATTTATGAAAAGTTGTGGTTTGATTTACAATAACAAAATTCCTATCTATATTTGCCTAGATTGGATCTTAACAACTCAAGCCGATAATCCCATAATATTTCATAATGATCACTCAATTTTCCATCTATTAGTGATAATTCCCTGCACCTTTCTCTAAAACACTTTGACCATGAAACCTTGTAATGAAATTTACTTTGTATAATAGCATGCATTTCCTTGCAATTTAGGTTTGGTTTCCTCATCAAATCCTTCACAAATTACCTTGTTAACTAGGTTGGATTCATAAGATTTGACTTATTAAAATTCCTAACACATGTATGAAGATCAACAAGACTTTTTACTTGGAATGATCTCTCAATATTCATCTAGGAGGCCCTAACCATGAAATAACATTAATGTTTTTTTGGGATCACTGGCACATTAACCACTAGCTTCATCACGTTGCATTTCAACTTGGTATTGCAGGTGGAATAGTCGAATTGATCATTAGTATATGTATTAGTCTCGTTCCGATTCTATACTTCATTGTCTTCATGTTCAGAATCCTCATCTATGTTCTCTTTATCTTTGTCAGACAATATAATTTATTCACCATTTTCTTTACATGGAGTTTTAAGAAACTTGTTTCTGGAAATTGGTTTCCTTATCAAATATTTATCAAATTGAACATTGATGGTGTCCAAATCATGAAGCTCTTCTATTTTGTACACATATGGGAAGATTGACCATTAACAATAAAAATAGAACACAAATATGAAGATAACGTAACAAAACAACTTCTCATTATCTGAACTCATGTGATTATGGACTACCGGCTACGTCTTCAACAATGGTAAAAACCATTGTTTAAGGAGACAGACGAAACAAAAGAGGAAGCAAGTTAATTTAATGTGAGAAAGGGGCAGTAAAAACCCTAAATTAATGAGGTTGCTTTAACTCACATCTACCCAATCCACCTCACTTACTCTTGGCTTCATCATCGTATGACACCGGCTAGAAGGGAGTTAGCGGAAGAAAAATAGTTAATTTGAATAGAATTACCATTTTCTTAGTTTTTATATACAAAAAATTGGGATATAATCATAAATTTTTTAAAAATATTGAGACTTTTATAAAGTAAACCCATCTAGTCTAATAAATAAAAATCTTGTTTGCTACATGTCACACTCTCATTTATTTTTCCATATGTCATTTTGTGGTTATTTTAAGTTTAATTTTTTTTTTCATATGTCATTTTATGGTTTTTTTATTTTATTAAATTTTGCATAGTATTTAAATGTAATAATTGTAATAAAATTAATAATAAATTGCTATCAATTTAACTAATGCAAATTTCCTTTACTTTTAAAAATTCTAAATTAAAGCTAATTATTTCTTTCGTTTATTCATTTAAATTATTATTATTTTAATTTAAAACAAAAATAAGTATTTCAATTTCAATCATTCAATATTATTCTTACTTTCGTTATAAATTCAAAGTTTCTAAATGCTTAGACTTTTATAATTAATGTTTGTAATAAACATGTATAAGACATAGATTTCATAACTAGTATTTTAACAAATAAAATTAAATATGTATATTGGTTATCATACGATGATGAAGCCAAGAGTAAGTGAGGTGTATTTCAATCGTAATGACATTGCAGAATGGTTTGGTAGAGTTGATAGTGGTGGCATTGTGGAATTGAATTTCGATAGAATTGCTTGGATAAAAATTTCAGACCTCCCACCAGAATTATGATATGAGGAAGATTTCACATCAATTGCGGAGTCCTTTGGTCGGGTGGTTGTTCCATTTGTGGTGGATCAATTAGTTGTGAACCCCTCCTTTGGTAAAGTTGGCATTCTAACATCTGCATTATCGAGTATCTCTGGCGAGCCTTTGGTGGAAGTTAATGGAAAAATCACAATAATTGGAATATCAGAAGTAGATATTGATTGGGCTCGATTTGATTCACAAAGATATCCTCAGGATGAGAATTCATCATGGGATGATGATGGGGACGACAACGATGAAGATGATGGGGAAGATGATATTTCTGATACCATTCCTGCTGGGGCTAACAACGTAGGGTTGGAGGATGGCGAGATTAGATCCAACAATGTTAAAGTGGTTAAGGAATCAAACTTGGAGGACTCAACATCAAATACATCCAACAAATCCCGATCCCCAGAGGTGAGGTTGTTATCGGTGGACATAGTAACGCAACATTCGTTCTTCTCTATTGGACAATCTCTCTTGAAATGTCCTACTCCACCACATAAGTGACATGTTGGACTAGCCCCTTCATTGGTAGTTGGAGTGATTAACTCGACCGGGGTCCTATAGATGCGGGCGGTGTTTCCCTTATTGTTGCATCTATTGCAATGCAGCACTCGACAGACTCCATAATGATGGTAGTTGCATTCGCTGCAGTATGGGAGGTTTCCCAAGTAGGGTGTGGTTGGTGTATGAATAGCAGAGCTGACGGGAGTATTGACTGCCTTAGTTCGTTTCCTTTAAGTAGGTCTTTGGGTTGAATAACTCCCTTTCTCATCCTCGAACTTTCGTTTCAGGGTATTAGGTTTGAGGTCAAGTGTGCCTTTTCTAGTAGGCACTTGTTGTTGAAATTGGTTATCACCAAGATTAGGATTACCATTAACGTGTCCACCCCACATTTGCATTATTAGTGTTAAGGATAGCTATGGCTGCTGTGACGACAACTTGAAACGTAGCAGAATCCATCTAAAGGATTGGTGTTTTACTGGTGGGTTGATTACGTTTCTCCGGAGGCATGATCTGCTACATGTCAAGAAAAGGAGCTCGTGAGCAACAATGGTTGCCTCTGATGTTTTCTAAATGTTTATATATATGCATGAAAACTTCCCATTTTGTTATCTGGTTCTCATTGATTCGACCCACATCCCTATGATGTGGTCCTAGCAAAAACAGAAGTAAGTTTCTACAATGGTTAGAGACTGAGTGTCATCCAAAATAAGTTACCTTGATTGGTGATCACTGATTTCCAATTTTTGAAAAGATTTGAAAACAATCCATAATAAGGTCCACGTAACACAGACTTAGGAATCCTTTGCTGATCAGTTCATTAGGTTGGCTGGAAAACATTTGCACTCATGCCGGTGTTAGACGATATGAAGGTTTAGCTACAGGGGTAGCTCCGGGGATTAAGTCGATATGAAACTTGACTTGGCGCTCGGGAGAAATCCCTGGAATATTTTTGGGGAAGATGTCAGGGAAATTGCAGACTTCAGGAAAGCTCTCGTGGTGTTTAACTTTTTGATTTTCATCATCATAAGATAGAAATGCAGAGCATTCCTTCTGCAGGTACTTATGGGCTTTGATGCATGAAACGATACGAAGATTCGAACTGAGCTTATCACGGAAAATGGTGTGGGGGCTTCGCCAGAGGGAAGATTGAGACTCAACACATCCATGCCTAATATGACATCGAAGCTCTTTATGGATATTGGCATGAGATTTAAGGGAAAGGAGTGATCGTCTGGGGGTAAGAGTACAACCTATTAATATGTTTTGAAGACAAAATGATGGTACGACTTTGATAAAGTTACTTAGTTCGCATGATATTGATGTAGGATATATTTTTGCTAACGGTGACCTTTAACTGAATCAAGACTATTGTCTCTATAGTTGGTATTAAGATTACACAGAGTTAGGAAAATTTTGACTTACGAGTAGGTCTACAACATACCAACAGAGGATAATTTGATAGTATGAAGAACTAGTAGAACAGTACTTGCAACACGGAGATGTTTATGGGAAAACGGGCTACTTAGAGCATAGGTAGGAAGGCTATTCTTAACTAAAAGACAGGAGGAGTAGAGTATTTCCTACTAGCGATGGGTACTCCTTGAACGGATCCTTAAGTTAGCTAGCTGGTGCTCCATGCCAAGAAGGTGTCGTTCGAATACTCTTTGGCGTACTCGGAGTTCTATGAATTCAGCTCGAGTTGCAGCAAGCTCTCACCACAGGACCTCGTTATTTCTCCTAAACCTCTCACAAGCATCTTCAAGACGGATGGTGTGAACTGTATGCATTCTCGCATTCGTATCTAATCCCATGATTCGGTTGAGGGTTGTCCTACCCTGTATTTCATTCCGAGCAACTCTGCGGACTAGGATTGGTAGGACTCTGTCTGCCGAGCCTCCTATGCTTAGATAGTAGAAGCTTCTGTCTCCATTGAAGGGCATAGGTTGATCATGCTCTTGACTCCATGTTTCCAAGCTTTCCACCCATGGAGACGTCGGGCCATAAAAAACCAGACGAGGGTTATGATTTGGGACATGAGTCACCGGGGGTAGATTACTGACTTCGGGTTCGGAGTCGGAACCCTCTAAATAGTTCTCGGCAGAGTGATCATCTAAGGGGATTGTAGGTTCTTCTTCTGGCTCATCATCGATCCATACACCATTTCCTTAGTTGGGAAAGTACGGGTTGCCAGGGAGATGGAATCCCACCATGATAGCTACACGAGAATGGGGGTAAATAGATAGTTAACAGACGTTTAGTCTAGTACTACGTCTATAGTATTGTAATTATATGCTCGGTACTTTGTTGTTATCTTATAGTAACTAAAATACTCCTATGGTATTTTAAACCTTTATGTTTGATTCTAGAGTTTTTCGAGTATCTAGGTAAGTTTTAGACTTGTTGCAACAATACAATCACTCCCAAGCACATGTTGGTCATGTCTCGAATAAATTTAGTTGATTAGGCTATATTGATCCTAGACATGATTACATAACTGCCCAGGTTTAACCGTAGTGTCCAACCTCTAATTACTTTTATTTAGTTCTAGTATATACATATTCTGAATATATATTTATACTTTTATAACATAATGATATATATTTTTAAAGTATGATTCTTGGTCAGAGTGTTTTTATCCCAATGTGTTTATAGTTGTATATCTTTTATGATTGATGTACTGAGTTCACTATAAACAAGGCTTTGATACCAATCTGTCACACCCCAAACTCAGACGGCGGAAATGTTTGGGGTGGTTGATGTCACATAAGTATCAAACACATGCATTATAGTAATCAAAGGACAGCCAACCATTGCATTAATAAGTATAAGTTTTACATAAGAGTTTTAGACGGTACATATTTTAAAACATCAAGGGAGAAACAAAAGACAACAGCAGTCGTAGTCCGCTACTAAGAAAACTTCTCAAAACTTTGAGGGTGTACCTGTCAACAAGAGCCCTGAGAATACAATTAAGTTTTGAAAGGGTATCAACATAAAGCTGGTGAGTTCATAAACATTTTGTTTTAGGAAAACAGTTCTCGGTTCTTTTGAAAAATGCAATATCTTTCCCAAAAAAAACCTCATATTGTCCGGTGAAATAAATATATAAACCTCAAGAAAAATGATTCTTTAATATCAGTTGAAAGTGTTCATCAAGAAAATCCCATATTTTCTTATGAAAAACATGATTAAACCCGTTCCTTCTATGACTTCTTAGTTCATACTAGTTATGTATAAACTCGGAAATCATTAAATTAATAATGAAAATTCGTTAGTTGAATGATAAACCATCTGTTTATTTAATATTGATGATTAACCTGGAAATCCTACGTTTCCCTTAAGTGAAAACTATTGAATTACTCGTTTTAAATCAGAAAGTATAAGTATCTATCATACGTATATCGGTGAAGCATAGTTCCCTTTTGAAAACCCTGGCTACCACCAATATGAGGTTTAGGCTGGGAAAATCCATTATTTTCAATGGTATACGTGTGATTTTATTGCTTTAATGGTTTCGAAATCGTAAGGCATAAGTATCACTCTTATGTTATTAAAGCAATTAATTAGGAGAGGTATATTATTCCATAAAAAGAGTCGTACGGTTGGCGAGTTTTATGACCATACTTAAACTTGATACTACGTGAAACGGACTCCAATATTCTTTATGACATTTGTCACCCATAGACCTGCCGGTCCGACTATAGCTAGCAGCCAGGTGCGGGTAGGCCTGTCAAATCGGATCATCGTGTCGTGTTTTTGTCTGACACGACACGACACGACAATGTTTTTTGTAACACGAACACGACATGACACGATGTCGTGTTTTTTTTCACTAACACGAAAACGAACCAAATAAAAAACGACAACACGACACGACACGACAAAGATAATATTACATAACTATTATTTTATTTAATTCATATTTAATCATATATAACACGATAAAAACGACAAACACGAAAACACAACAAATACATGCTCAATCGTGTCAATTTCGTGTGGATTTGTAAACACGAACACGACACGACACGACATCGTGTTTTTTAAACTTGACACGAACACGACATGAAAACGAATTCGAATTTTGATTTCGTCCCGATTTCGTTTCGTGTCGTGTATTTTTGTCGTGTCGTATCATAAATTGACACCCGTAGGTGCGGGATAGTCAGTCTCGTTTAGATCTATACACAAAAGCCACGCTTTCCCTCCAGGAAATTCTGTTTCATAAGGGTAGTCCTCCATTTAGTTAATGTTGTAAGCGCCCAAGAACGTGTCTCCCAATTAAGTTAACGACTTTATGAATAATAATACAGGAAAACCCTTTTTGTTATTAACACAAATCTTTATAAGATATTATCTTTGGTTTCATGATTCGTAAGTTCATTTCCTTAGTTTTGAAAATGGCTTTTGCATGGTTCATATTCTAACGCGTTGTGTAAAATTGATTTATATATTCGTTGTATATTGATAACAACAATATATTAAACAAAATAATATATTTTAACACAAGATTACTTGTGCTTTTACTTGTATTCCCCCTGAAAACATTTAAAAACTCGGAAAAATGTAGGGGTATGAACTCACAGTTTGACGTGGGATTCGAAGGTAAGTCGGTAGGAATGTTGAGTGCCAAATGAAACCTCGGACACAAACAAATCCTATTTAACATATAGTAGCACATACATGTATTAGATGAGGGTATAATATTATTAGTTATGGAAGGAAATCACCTTAGGGACTAGGAAACACTTGAAACTAAGTGTTAGAATCACATGTGATGTGAAGATGGGGAGTTTGCGACCATAAAAGGGTTTTCGGCCCAAGTGTTTGTGGTCCATGTGTTTACGGCCATAAACACCCGATGAAAAGTGCGATTTGCGGTGTTTCTAGGTCATTTCTAGCCTCTTGGAAGTGTTCTAAGTCCCATGCATAGCTAAAAGGGATGTTTAAGGTCAATCTTTGACCAAATACAAGGGTTTTCGGTCAATGAGGGGTGTACA